CTTGGAGCCAAAGGCACAGCCCAGGCTCTGGGAAGGGGAAAGCAAAGAAAGCCCTTGCAGGAGAATTTTGGTGGGTCAGCCACTGCCAGACACATGGTGATTGCCCCTAGGAGCAACACATGAGCACTTGAACTCTATATCCCAACACCTGGAGAACCTCTCCAGCAGCGCTGCCTCACAGGGACCAGCCCTTGTCACTCCACAAGGACTCAAAAGGGAGCCCCCAAAAAAGATTTTTGATCCTCTGGCCACCTCGTTCCTTCCTTTACCCTACGTTTAGTCACTCCTGATAGCCCAGGTAGATATCTCACCTCCTTACAGCCCCACGGAGCGCCGAGCTCAATGTTATCTCACAGCAGTGGCCTTCACAGCTGTGTACTGAGTAAATGAAAAAGTAAAGTGTCAGTTGAAAATACGTGTATTGCCAACCAGGAAACGGATTGTGGGGACACCCAGGGAAGCACTGCAAAGCCCCAGGGACAGCCAGGGCACCCCCAGCTCCAGGAGAGAGGTGCCAGACGGGGGCTTGGGGGTGACAACTTGCAAGGCAGGACCTGGATCCTCAGCAGCCAAACAGATCCCCCTCTTATTCAAAGTGTAAGATAAATACAGTTCCCCGATCACAACAGAAAGGAAGTTTGTGATCTGTACCACCTCTTTCAGGTAACTGAGCTTTAAAACTAAGGCAGGAACGATGCGAGGCAAACTCACACATCTCTGTGCTGCAGCATGCCCATTGAGTCCACAAGAGCTAGTCCGTATCTGTTATCTCTACATTTTTTTATTAGCTCATGTTTACTTTGGCTGCACATCCAAGCAGGCAGTTAAACAGGGTGAGAGAGGAAAATCTTGGACTCCCAACAATGGCCAAGCAGTTTAATCTGCCACGGGGGACAATGACGTGCCTCCTATTGGTGTTTGGTACCGGCAGGGTCAAGTGTGACATGTGCTGAAGGAAGCACTAGGGAAGCACATCTGTGGCCGTTCCAACAACACCGAGTGTTTCCTTGAGCTATTCAGAGGTCCCTTTTCCCCTCGTGTGTGGAGAGAACAGCCCCAGCTGCCCATCACCTGCACCAGCTTTGCCACCAACTGGATTTATGAGGCTGGAGGCTGCTACCAGCTCCAGGTTAGACACAGCACGTCCCTCCAGCTGACAGCTCAGACATTCAAAACTAAGTTAGGAAGCAGTAAAGATTATGTCCTTGGCAACAGCCACCAAGTTGGTGCTGGAACATAATTTATATTCCTGAACAGAACTGGCACTGGGCAGGTTGGTCATAAACATCAACAAACTTCCCTCCAGCGATGACACCGGCCAGAAGGGTCTAGTGTTGTTATTTATCCATGTTGCTGATTTAAGTATATTTTTTTTTGTATTTGAGAAGTTTGAAATACTTTGTAGAAGAACTCTGCAACTTGAGAGCCCAGGCCAATCTACAGTAATAAATTCAGAGCCAAATAAACAATATGAGTTAATGTTAACAGTCAGATGACCACAGGCCAAATAGTGCAGTCTCTCTTTGGCTTTAAGAACGGAACATAAATTTCAGGATTTTTATTCTACTGCTGTTTGGATTCTGTGCTAACACATTTCTAAATAACTCTTCATTAACGATTAACTTATCACACTTATCACACACAATATAACTTATTAACATTAGCCCTAATGGACATGTCTTTCTGATTCCTCCCGGGGTAATAGTGTCCTCTCAGGGGGTTCCTGCTGAGCAGGGGCAGATTCATCTGTTAAAACTGTTCTCCATTTAGCAAATATCAACAGACACAAAGCCAGTCACTCAGCAGAGGCAATTCTGCTCGGATGAAATACAGGAAGGTGGAAACCATGTGGCATTCTTCAGTTTCCCCTTTCCTTTCACAATCAGACCCTTGATATTTTCTTCAACCGGAAAACTGACACTCCCCCCCCCCTGTAAACTGCTGACAATTGTACTTCACACCTGGCAAAAACCAGCGCAAAACGGAAGGAAGAGAAGAAACAAAGACCCCAGACTTTTCTCAGCAATTGCATCTCCGCAGAACGGAGCGCTTTTCTTTCCAGCTGGAGCTAAAGACCCACCACTTCTGGATGGACAAACTCCAGCAGCCCCCATGGGAGACATTGCCTCCCACCCAGGAACGGCCACGAAGGCAGAGCTGGGGGGGCTCCACGGCCATGGGACCCCCCGTCCTACCCAAACCCCTCTGCAAACTCAGCCCTCGAGCTTGAACGTCCTGTCCCCTAACAGTGATCCTAAACCCTTGGTAGTTACCTAAGATTAAAGAATACTGGAAAAGTTTCTCTGCCTCCTAACAACTCCAGATGCAGCCGGTGTCTCTTCTTATAAACTGTCCTTTTTGATTTTTCTTTTTTTTTTTCCTTCTTTCTAATGGAATCAAACGCTGAGCAAAACTGCAAGTGTCACTGGCACCACCTCCTCGCCAGACCGAGCTGGGTGCTCCACGGCAGCACGGACAACCCAAAAACAGAGGATATCAACCCAAGATACTGAATAACGAGCACCAGGTTTCCTTACGTGAGCAATTACAAGAAATTACGAAGCTGTTTGTCTAGGTAAGAAGTTTGGCTTTTATTCACACCAGCCAGTCAGTCCCCAGTTTCCCCGTAAATACCTCCTGTAAATTTCCTTCTCCATAAAGATCTGGAAACTCTCTCACACAAAAGGTGAGGCAGAGGCAACAAGGTTCACACTCACGTCTCTCTCCTGAGGCTGCTGCTGCGACTGGGGCTCTTCAAACATGACCTCATGCAAGTGAAGGACAAGGAAAATCCCACAGACATGAACGAGGACCCAAGTGGGAAACCATGAAAATGTTGTGTGTCATTGCTGTGATCAGCATCAACGTCCTTTTCCAGGGAGAGGGGGTGGGAATCACTTGAGTACTAAGAGTAATAAATTTATTCCATTTTCCTGCTGGCATTTCAAACACCAGCAGGCCGTGTAACTGCAGCAGCTCAGCTGCAATTAGGAACGCAGCAGAAAGCATCTCACCTCATAGAGCAAGCAATAGAGCGAGCGAGTCCTGGCTGTGAACAAACCAAGCCCTTCCAAAGTGGGTGAATTTCAGCGACCTGCCCTCAGAGAAGCTTTCCCTGGCTCCATCAGTTCAGGGTTCACCCCCATCTTAAAACCACCCGCTCCGAAACCCAGGAGAACATCAACCAACTCATACCCCTCAGAGATCTGCTGACCAGTGAACGCTGGAAGACTTCTCTTTCCAAAGACCACTCTGTCCCACCACTCCCTACACACAGGTATAAAGAGTTCCCATTTCAAAACACACCTCTGGCTGCAGAGCATCCACTGTAATTAGTGCCCACAACTATGTTGACTCTATTTTTGTCTCCTATGCCATGCCACCAATCTTAAAAGGATACGAAATTACAGACCTGGCTGGGTAAGAACTAAACTCGGGCTCCCAACCCTGAGGAAGTAGCCAGCAAGAGAAACAAGAGCACCATAGGGGCTTCACGCCGGGAAAAGGAAAGAAAATGGCACAAAAGTCAGACAAGAGAAATGTCAGACTTCCCCTTTCCTGCTGATGGCACGCCGGTCAGGAAGTTAAACCACATTTTGACAAAGCAAATTAGGGAAATGAGGCAGCTTCAACACCTTTGAAAATTATTACCCACGCCAAAGGCAGATACCTCAATATCTGAGCCTTAGAGACTCTTAAGGAAATACATTGTTGGACTAGATGATCCCTATGGTCCCTTCCAACTCTAAAAATTCAGTGAAAAAACATTTAGTGAAATATACAAGACAACACTTCCCCAAAATTAACGGTAAAGGAATATTTGACAATCACACCCTCATAGCAGCTAGAGGAGCCACAGGTTTCTAATGCTTGGTAAAGGAGTCAGAAAAGTGAAAAAAATCTCCCCACATTCAGTTCACGAGGATACGGCGTTCCCTGGACCCTCGGCCTGGCCCAGGACAGCCTTCCCTGTGCTCCTGCACGAGGATTTCCACGCTGGAAAGATTTATGATTTTTAAAACTGGGAAAGAGTGAACATATTCAATTCAAATCTAAGTGTAGAGACCCCAGTACCCAAGCCCACACTGTGCAGTAACCACCACCACGGGCATTCCCTCCAGGCTGGGGGAGAGAAATTCCCACTCGGGGGCTTCACCCGGACTAACTGTAAAGTGCATCCACGGATCCTCATGAAAAGAGTCAATGTGATTCATGTAACCACAAGTACAAAATGCCAACAAAACTGGAAACCAAAAAAAGAAAACGTTACCTGTAAGAAAACGTAACAATGCGAAACAGAACTGCCTTCAGTCAAAAGAAAACATTTTGAAAAGATGCTGAACTATTTTTTAACAGCAAGGTTCAAACTGCGCCTTTGGAGTCTTTGTTTAACACACACACACACACAAAAAAAAGCAAGGCTTTGACTGCTCTTTCCCCACATCCACCCCGGGATTCTCCGCAAACAGCCACCATTGAGGATGTGCTGAAAATTTACACGACGTTCCAGCATTTGGTTTAAGTTTACTTCTAAGTTTATTGGTTGGGTAAAATTTCAGAGCTTTCTTAATAAGACACAGCTTAACCAGCGCAACTTCACAGTCTGGGAGAGAGACACAGCCCAAAAAGACTTTTTTTTAATTTTTTTTTCTTTTTCCCTTTGAGAACACGCCGTGAGCTGCGCTCCCCAGTTCAGACGAAAATTTTTTTCTTTTTCCCTTTGAGAACACGCCGTGAGCTGCGCTCCCCAGTTCAGACGGAGCCCCCGGACCCCCCTCCACATCCCGGGTAACGAAAAAACCAACCACCCCCGGCCCCTCGGGGACTCCCCGTTCGGGGCAGCACCTCGGGGACACCGTCCTCCCGCCGCCCCGCTCCCCGGGGAACCCCCGGGGGCGAACCCACCGCCGACCCTCCCGGGGTTGCGGGGCCCAAAGCGGGCGGCAACGGCGGCTCCGCCACCGGGCACCCCCTTCCCGTCCAGTCCCGACCCGACCCACCTGGTCGCCGTCCCGGTGGCCACCCCGCTCGCTGCTCGCCCCGCCG